CTCCTCAACTAAGCTATAAATTTTCTCTCAATTTCACTTTTCACTAAAGGAGGGAAGGGAAGCGTTCAGCAAAACAAAACAAAAAAAAGAAGAAAAAGGAAATGTTCAGCTGTGTGCGTGTGTCTCGGCTCGGGGTTTGTGGGCGTGGGGTGTGGAAAAGAAGAAAAGAAGGGGGGAGGGGGAGTAGGGGTAGGCGGTGGATTGCGGGGGTGGAAATAAAAAGCCGTCTATATGGTAAGGAGTAAAGAGGAGGGGGCGGCCGGGGGGGAGGGGGAGGGGGGAGGGTTGGGCAGTGGATTGGGGGGTGGAAATTTAAGAAGCCGTGTGCATGGATGTCGTTCCTCGATTTCCGCACCATTATCTTACGAGCCAATACTTTGATCGTTCTCTCTTTTTTTTTTTTTTTTTTTCATGCTCGTCGGTATACACCGAAAAAAAAAAAAAAAAAAAATCATTGCCGTGTTCTGTTTCCCGCTGGTGTCGCGAATAGAACGCATAGGCAGTCTCCAGAAGAAGGTAGTGGAGGGGGACGCGTGCATTGTATGCAGGTACGGAAACGTTTGACGGGAAAAAAAAAAAAAAAAATCCCACTTTTCAGATTGGAAAGAGAGGGGGGGTTACTATTGAATCCCTCTTGCTGATTTTTTGGGGTCAAAGAGAACCCCCCTTGAGTACCTGAATATTTTATTTTTTCCTTTTGGAGTCTGGGACGAATCGAAACGCGTGAAAATAATTCTTCTCCTCATTTTTGATAGCCTTATTAAAAAAAAAAAAAAAAAAACACCGAAAGGACAACTAACATAAAGAGGTCCATCAAAACTCTTGCTGCAACAACCACAACAAAAATAAAAAAATAAAAATAAATAAAAATTCGTGCTGTGGTGCGATCTGTCATCAATGCTATCACCAACCGTCGTGCAGTGGCACAGTCGTGCTCATCTTGCCTGGTTAATACAGCTGCATTTGGGGCAATATTTGGGGCAATATTCAGTCTAGGAAACAGCCGGTCATTATAGCTGCCTGGTTAATACAGCTGCATTTGGGGCAATATTCAGTCTAGGAACAGCTATAATGACCGGATGTTCTACAGTAGGATGGGGTAAGACTGACTTCAGCACCCCTCCCTCGCCACAACATCTTCTCACGCCATCTCCCCTCGCCGGAACGTTGTAGTGACCTGGTTACTTCTTTCTTTCTTTCTTTTTTCTTTCTTTCTTTCTTTCTTTTTTTTTTTTTTTTTTTTTTGATACAGATATGTCAGTCTGAAATGCCATCTCCCTTTGCGGTAACGGTGTAGTGACCTGATTCAATGTAAGCGCATCTGTATGCAGATGTTGCTGTGACCTCGTGACATTTCAGACTGATACAGATGAGCTTACACTGAAACACTGCTCTGGGTTACCCTGCTCTTTTTCCTTTTTTTCCTTTCTGTTTCCTGGCCTTCTCCACCCACCTTCAACTCATGAGCATTGTCCGCATGCCAGAACACGGTACAGCCTACGGGGTGCATACCCGTACCCTTGCTGTAAGTTAATGGACAGGCAATGTGTTCGAGCCGTGCCCCCTATGCTATTGTAACGAACTGACACTTTTTTTTAGAGCCTTCCCACCGAATGAAAGCAAAGTGGGCCTACTTGTAGCAATAGGGAGAAAAATTTGTGTTCTTTTGCTGGCAAGATTTTGTTTGTTTGTGTGTGTGTGTGTGTGTGTGTGTGAGAGAGAGAGAGAGAGAGAGAGAGAGAGAGAGAGAGAGAGAGAGAGAGAGAGAGAGAGAGAGA